AGGGGCCTCCAAGATGCGCCCCAAGAGGGCCCCTAGACGCAAAACGTTGCTCATTTCCTTCGTAAAACGTATATGTTTCACATATTCGCCTCGTGGGTTTTCCGACGCTCCAAGGCGGCCCAAGAGGCCCCGAAGACCGCCCCAAGACGGCCCAAGAGGCCCCCAAGACGGCCCCACGACGGCCCAAGATGGCCCCAAAACGGCCCAAGAGGTCTCCAAGACGGCCCAAGAAGGCCCCAAGACGGCACCAAGAGGGGCCCAAGAGGGCAACCATAAATTCAAAAATCTAGCGTTCCGCCCCCACGAGCCCCAGGGGGGCCCAAGAGTGCCCCAAGAGGCCGCCAGAGGCCCCCAAGAGGCCGCCAAGACGCCCCAAGGAGCCCCCAAGAGGCCCCCAGGAGGCCTCCAAAAGACCCCCAGACGCTTCCGCATTGCGAGCCGTCAAGCCAACTGCAATGCACTCCGCGCATGTAGCCTTACTCTTCCTCGCGACGTGCTCACAGTCTTGCTCGGCGCTAATGTGCTGCTGTCACGCGAACTGTTTCGTGCGCGCTGCGAACGTCAACAGCCTCTTCACCCGTTTCGACTCATCTGCCAAATCTTTCGCGGTGATGCTTCGCTGATCACAGCTTCCGCACGCTACTCTTGCTCCTTTCGTCATCCGGTGGTCCTCCACTTGGTTGCGGGTCGAAAAGCCGACCTCCCAGAAGGACACCCCGCACCCGGGTGCACAGCACGCAAGGCGCTCGCAAAACACGCCCCAGACCACCGGCATCACGCAAACATTTGGACCCCCTACGTATCTGCCACCACCCGCGCGCGACACCGCACCCTCACACAAGACGCCGCTGGCCAGAAACTCCTGGCCTCGCAACAGTCACAGAAGGGGTCGGCGGATGTGGCGTAAGCCTGTAGAATCTACACATGCACAGATACATACAGTGACGGAGACAGAGAGAGAGAGAGAGATAGAGAGAGAGAGAGAGAGAAAAAAAAAAATCCTTCTAGACCCCAGGCAAGAAATGTCTGGGACCTCCCCCCGAACACCAACCTGCACCGCCTTCCGAGCCGTGCCCGCCAGTGGCGGCGAGAAACAAGCCATCGAGAGCTCGCACAAATTTCCGAAGGCGACGCCCATCTCTGGACCTAGCCCCATCCTGGAGGAGAGGCAGGACAGGTGCGCACCCGTACAACCTTTCGCCCCCCCTCCCCCACCCACCTCCTCCCACTCTGGCCCCGAGGCCTCGCCACTCCACGAACCGTGCGCTGTTCTGCCCCCTCTCCCGCGGCGGCGTTCCGCGCGCGAGTCTCGCGCACGGGCAAGCCGCGGGTCCGCTCGACGGGCTGGATGGCCAGCGGTGGTAGGGGGAGGGAAAGGAGGAGAGAAATGATGGCACGGAAGGTATGCTCAAGTGTATGCATGCATGCATGTGTGTATGTTCGTATGGATGTGAATATGTTTGTATGCATGCATGCTTGTATGTTTGCATGTGTGTACGTATACGTATTTACGTGTGTATGAATGTGTGTGCATGTGCGCATGCATGCATGCATGCATGCATGTATGTGTACGTCTGTGCGTATGTATGCATATAGGTGTGTGTGGATGTGTGTGTTGTCTGTAGGTGCTTACGCGTGTAAGAATGTATGTATGTATGTGTAATTGTGTGTGCAGGTATGTATGTATAGACAGCTGTGTGTATGCGTGTTTGTATGTTCGTATGCATGTATGTGTATGTACGCATATTTGTTTGTTTGTATGTGTATGTATGAGTGTGTATGTATGTGCGTGTACGTATACCGAAATGTGTATATAGATGAATGCATGTATGCATGCATGTGTGTATGTATAAGTGGATGTATGAATGTGGGTGTGTGGGTGTGTCTTTGTATGGGTGTATGTATGCATGTATGAATGCATATGTGCAATCATGTATGCATGCATGTGTGTATGTATGCGTGTTAATGTATGTGTGCATGTATGTGTGTATGTGTGCATGTTTATATGCACACATGTACATTTGCATCTATACATATATAGGGCTACATATATGTGGTATATGGTGCATGTACGGGTCATCAGACGAATCCAGGGTTGCGAATGGGACTCTCCGGGGAGATTGGACCTGTGTTGAATCCGGTTGGGGGGCCTCTCGGGACGACTTGGAGGCGTGTTGGGCTGTATTATCTGGGCCGCCGTGGGGGTCTCTCGGGGCTGGTGTGGGGCGGTCGGTGGGCCCTCTAGGACTGTCTTGGGTCCTCTTGGTCCCTGTGGGGATACGAGGGGCATATCAGGAGCATTCGCGGGCGCCACGCGACCACTTTGATGTCTGGTTTTTGACCCAGACACTCGGGTGCTACCGTTATGTGTTGGGAAGGCAGGTGGGAGTGAGCGGGAGGTGTCTAGGCCCTACCCCCCCCCCAAGTGCCACACCATGGCCCCAGGGAGCGGGATGCAAAGGCCGCCCTTTCGTGGCTGGTCTGAGGTCTGAAGGGGGCCTAAAGCTGCTCGCCTGGGATGCTTGTGACCCCCTCCTTTTTGCTACGGCAGTTGGAGTACCTGTGTCTTGGTGGCACGCTGCCGGCTCGAGACCTTGCCGAGCCCTTGGATGCGGCACTTGTCGCCGGCAAAGGGGGTCCCGCACCGCGAAGCTCAGCGGCCGCAGTCTGGGCGACCGTGCCGCCGCGGAGGGCGAGTACTCCGCCGCATGCGTCCCCCCTCTGACGGCGCGGCGGGCTCCGCGCTTGGTGGTGGTCGGCCACTGCGGAGTGCATCGTGGCGTCGGCGTCGCACCAGATGGCCGCGCATGGGGAGGTCACGGTGTCGGCGAGCCGGGAGGCGCCTCGGGGGCGCAGGTCATAGCCCCCCCCCCCTGCCCGAAACTGCGAGGACGTTGGGGGCGTCGGCTGGCGAGATCCCGAGAGCCGCCGCGAGTTGCTTCTTGCCTACAGCTGCGCCGTGGCCGCCGAGCCGGATGGGTTGTTCGCGCACCGCCACGGAGGCGAAGTGATTTTGGAGGATGTCCTCGAGCGCGCCCTGTGGAGCTGGCAGGCGGCCTGCTGAGGAGGAGGAGGAGGAGGAGGAGGAAGAGGAGGAGGAGGAGGAGGAGTGAGTTTGGAAGATGCCCCCGAGCGCATCGAGGAAGGCCTCGTTCAGCGCACGCCTGGCCTCGTTGCTGGAGCTGGCCCTGTGGAACTGGCGGGCGGCCTGCCGAGCGGTGCTCTCCACGCCTCGGGGATGCCTGCGGGATCCCATTCACGGGGGCTGCCCCTGGGAATGATTCGGCGAACAGCTCCTGCTTCATGGTGAGAGCTGCCCGCATGGCCTCCGTCTCGTGGATGATGATTAGTATACAGGCGTGACGACACAAAGACGATGATGATGATGATGATGATGCTGATGCTGATGCTAATGATGCTGATGATGATGATGATGATGATAGATGATGGATGACGATGATGATGATGATGAGGAGGAGGATGAGGATGAGGATGAGGATGATATTGAGGATGATGATGATGATGATGATGATGATGATGATGATGATGATGATGATGATGATGATGATGATGATGATGATGATGATGATGATGGGTGACTTTGAAAGACTGGTCTAGCGCGACTTCCGCGGCATTAGTGCGGCATTGGACCTCCGCGTTGCCGAACTGGTAGACCGCCCCATCCAGGTGCCCTGAGGCTTTGGCGGCCACGGCGCTGCGACGCAGCACGGGAATGGCCATCTCGGCTCCTGGATAGAAAGTGCTCCTGGGCCCCAAGACCGCGACGGCCAGTGGCTGCTGCTGCTTATGATGTTGGGCGAGCAGCGAATAGCCCTCCTCGTGGCTATGGAAAGAGATCCCGCTGTTGAACCCGTCGCCGCTGGGGCTGCGCATCCGATGAACCACGACGGGGGCGGCCGGTGCTTGGTGGATGCGGCGCGGCGGCGCGAGCGTCGGGGCACACCCGCGAGGCGTGGTTGACCCTTGACTTTGTGGTGAGCCAGTGTCAAGCTGACCATGCGCTGAGCAGAGAGACGCGCGAGGGCCTTCCTCGGCTCAATGTGATGGTGGCCGCGCTTGGTGCAAATGCGGCCGGCATCCTGAGAAGCGGCCGGCACAACCTCATCGCAAGCTGGCGTTGCACGATCAGCACCTGCACCCTTGAGGGACTGGACGCAGGGAACCCTTTCGCGTGAGCTTGGGCTCGGTGTAGGGACGTGAAGCGCGGCCACGAGTGGGCGCAGTGGGGGCAGCGCGCGGGTGGCGACCAGCCATGGCTGCAGCGGGCGAGCGTGGGCGGAGATGAAAGAAACCCGTCGGTTGGTCGCAACATCGACGCGACCGTTCAGTCTCGTCATGCCTGAGGCCGGGGACCGTTTTCCGGGCTCGGTGCGGCGAGGGGTACTCGAACCGATGCATGAGAGGGATAGAACAAGAGAAAAACAGAGAGAGAGAGAAAGAAAGATATACACACAAAGAACAACAGTACAAGAAAACACAGTATCAAGCAAATGGAAACGAGAGAGACAGAGATGTATCTATGTATAGAATAGATAAAATCAAGATACACTCATCGAGTAGAGAGGTAAACACCTATCAGATAAGGGTAAACACTTAGAGCGATATTCAACTAGAAATTCTTGTGTGTTATTGTAGGAGGAGAGAGAGAGAGAGAGAGAGAAAAAAAAAAACAGAGAGAGAGAGAGAGAAAGACAGCGCGCTCTATACAACGACATGCATGGAGAGAGCAAGACAGAGAGAGAGAGATATTGAGAGAGAGAGAGAGACAAACTAAAACAGCAACACAACATAACCATATAAATAGAGTGTGAGGGGGAATGGACGAGAAGAGCGGGGAAGGAAGGGCGAGGGAGGCTTGAGCGAAACAAGGAAACTGAGACCTCGAATTCACGGCACAAGGCGCGTGTTGCGCGTCCTGCGGCTGAGGCGGTGAAGGTGTTTCCCCTCCCGCGAAAGCAGGCCTACAATTCACGGATGATTCACTTCGTCTCATCAAAATGTCCGTCGTCCTTCCCTTCCACCTCGTACGCGCCATCGTCCTTCTCCACCTCCCCCAGGCCCCCTCTTTCCTCTGCTACTATCCCTCTAGTATCCTCCCCCTCCTCCTCCTCCTTAGAAGCATCCTGCTCCTCCTCCTCCTCCTCCTCCTCCACCTCCTCCTCCATTCCTTCTCCTTATATTTAACTCTTTTCTGTCGCACCTCGTGGCCAATTCTTAGGGCGGGTCGGGCGTTTCGCTTGAGACGTCCTCACCATGTATGAACCTGAAGCTTAAAAAATGGCAGCAATTTCAAAGATGGAGGGCGGGACGCTTTCAAAATGTGGCTCTCGCCTTACCGCCGCGCACATTCGTTTGATAAATTTGCAAGAGCTTCACGGGTTGGGGGCGGGTCGTTTTCAAAATGTGCGCCGCGCACATTCACATTAAAACAATTGCGAAGGGTTTCGCTGATTGAGAGCGGGTCGTTTTCAAAATGTGGCTCTCGCCTTAGCGCCGCGCACATTCGTTTGAGAACTTTGCAGGAGCTTCACACATTGAGGGCGGGTCGTTTTCAAAATGTGGCTCTCGCCTTAGCGCCGCGTAATTTGCAAGCAAGAGCTTCAAGGATTGATAGCGGGTCGTTTTCAAAATGTGGCTCTCGCCTTAGCGCCGCGCGCATTCGTTAAACAAATTTACAAGAGCTTAGCACACTGAGGGCGGGTGGTTTTCAAAAGGTGGCTCTCGCCTTAGCGCCGCGCACATTCGTTTCATGTAATATTTTATTTAAAAAAACAGAGATTCCACTGTATCCCATGATCAACGCACCAGAAATGGTGTTTGGGAAGGATTCAGGGATGTCAAGACGCAGCAATCAGGTTGATACGTGGCGATGAAATCCCGAGAACAATGTTTTGGCACGCTTCAGGGTATTCAAACTGTTGTCTTCCAACGAGGCAGTCCCCTCAATGGAAATGAACCGTTGTAGGGGCCTATGAAGAGGGAGCTTGGAGGGAGGGTTCATTCCAACATCGTAGATGACTCTTGGGTGTCCACTGGTCCTCTTCCTCCTGCCCCTCCTCCTCCTCCTCCTCCTCCCCCTGTCGTCTTCTATCTCCTCCTGATCGTCGTCTTCGTTATCCTCCTACGCTGGCTCATCTTGGTCCTCGGGCTGCTGCGACTCCGCCTGCTCCTCCAACGCATCCTCAGCCTCCTAGGTATCCTCCGCCTTGTCCTCCCCGTCCTCCGGCTAGTCTGCCTGTCAGGTGCGGTCGGGCTCCCAAACGCCGACGAGCATACTGCTGTCTCACATCACGCAGCAACCATCAGCTTTAGGCCGCGGCGGCGGCGGCGGCTTCTTCGGAGGATTCATCTCGAAGCTGAACTCACTGTCGATCGCTTTCTGGAACAACTGTATATCGAACGACCCTCTCAAATTGCGCTCTAGCAGTATCCAGAGCTTGTGCTCCATACTCGCCAGTGCGAAATTGGAAAACCACCTGACCACGGGCCAGCTCGCGAACGCCGCGATCACGGCATTGATCGCAACGTCTCGAAGGATCACCTTAAACAGGCAAGGCCTGGTTTTGCGCACAGACGTCCACCGCAGGTAGACCCGCTTGGTTTCAACAGGCCCCCAGGATGGCCCAAGGCGGTCCCGATAGGAATCGGACAAGTATAAAGGTCCACCTCTCTCCTCCTCCCTCCCTCCTCCTGCTCTGATTGCTGACCTGCTCTATGGGTGTGGGGGGGAGGGGGGGGGGGGCGAAGTACAGTTATCCTCCTCCGTCTCAACACCCTCGCGTCCCCAAGGGGCGCCGTTGGAGGTGGCACAGACCGCCCTGCACCACCCTGGGGACCGTGCTACGGCCAGCCCAGACTGTCTGTGGGCTCAGCTGCATGTGCGCAGAGCTAGGCCTTGCCGCCCAGTGGGTGAATGTACAAAACGATACCGTCTGGCTACGACCATGGGGAATGCCAACAAGAGACCAAAGCTCTCTCTTGGCCGTAGAGGCACCTGGGTGAACGAGGAGCGCTAGAGAAATAACCATGGAAGGACCTGAAGACCAGCGAGCACCGTATCAGCCCGAACTGTTCAAGATTTCAGCGCCTGGACTGTACTCCCTGGGGTGTCTCCTCTGGTGCGCTCAGGCATGGACTTCGGGGCGAATGCGCCGAGGCGACGAGCAACTGGCAGCGGCATCTGTATCTGCTCCACCTCCTCCTCCTCCTCCTCCTCCTCCTCCTCCTCTTCCTTCTCTGACCTTGAATCCGAAAGCTGCGACATCATCGCCCTTTCCTTCCAGCAGGCTCCTCGCTGAACCCTGCGACATGTTGCCGTCGCAGATGCAGTGCATATCGTGGTCTACGGGTGGGAAGCCAACCGGCTCCTGGCACCGGAACTTCCCGTGGGCGTCCAGGTCAGCGAAGGGGCCGAACGCCCCCTGCTTCACATCCTTTAGCATCGTCATCCCTCTCGTCGCCGCCCACCTTCCTAGCTAT